CATATCCATCTCTTCACTTTATAGGTTTACTTTCACTTTGGCCAAGATTGTACTCTCACTTATTTGTAGTGCTGTTTTTCTTGCCCTGTGAACAGTCATGTCTTTATCTTGCGTGCTCACTGAGCTCTTTAAAAAGCTATTTTGTATAGTTAACCTATACTAGTTTAATTTAGCTCAGTATGTGTCAACTTGAGGATTAGTCTTCAATAAATATGCCTGTTTTATTTTCTGCAGTTTGTGCTTTTGCTTATCATCTGAATCTGGGTAGTCTACGCCATTCATTCCTTTCACATTGATTGGTGTATAATATTTGAATCAGTATTCTGATTTTTATGTTATTTACTTAAACGGTTTTCTTTAATGATTTGCTAGCAATGTCATTTTAATGGGATTATGAATGGTGCATTATGACTATCTCCCTTCCTTTCCTTTAATATCCCTCTCTTTCTGTGCAGTTGGGCAGCACAGTGTACCAGCCATGCATCAGTTTTATCAGCAGATGCTATTTAAGCAAACTTTCCCCCAGTGCCTCACAGCGTTACATCCCCATGTGCACAACATGCTGCTTTTTTAATGTGGAGATTGGCATTATTGGAGAAAACAGTATCAAATGATTTGTTTCTTTAGGTATGAATGAAGTTCATGAAGTCTAAACTTATGAAATGAATATAAACAACTAAATCTGACATAGCTTCATACTGTATCCAGTAATGCCAGTGAAATCTCAGTCAGTCATTCAAGCGCCAGCGATCTTAAATTCATTGTGTTGTCTCTCTCTTTTTCTGTCCATCCCCACTGCTTTCAATCCCACCCATCCCTGATGTCTTCCACTCTCTATTTCTCTCTCATTCACTCTCTTTTCATCAACGCTGACCTGACACTTACGCTTTTAAATAAATACAATATTAATCAAATAGGAGGGAAAGGCGAACAATGGCAAAGCTGATAAGCCAAAAACTGCCCCAGCCAAAGCTGCTCCAGCTAAAACCAAGCCAACTACAAAGCCGAAGGCCAAACCTATCTCAAAGACAAAACCTACTTTAGCTTCTAAACTAGCATCCAAACCAAAAGTAACACCGGCCCCAAAGATTGAAAACAAAAAGAAGGCAAACGACAATGGAAAAAATAACGGTCAAGCTAAAGTAAATGGTAATGGCAATGGCAATGGCAAAAGCAATGGGAATGGGAAAGATGCTAATGGTAAGGCTAAGGCTGGCAGCAATGGCAAAGCCAATAACAATGGCAATGGGAAGGCAGCTGTGGAGAAAAAAGCAAAAGGGGAAGCTAAAGCTAATGGCAATGGTGCGAAAACAGTGAAGACTGAAAAGGCAGCAGTGACCAAAGAAACAGTAGCAAAGAAGTCAGAGACAACTGCGAAGAAAGCAGAGACCAGACCACAACCAGCCAAAGACAAAACAAAAGCCAATGCAGTACCTAAAGCAAAGCCTAAAGCGACCAAACCTGTGGTAGAAAAGTTTCCGACCAAAGTCGCTAAAACTCCAAAACCTGTTGCTTTTAAACCCACCCCTGCGCCTTTGCCTCTCCCTCCAAAGCCTAAGGTCTTGGATGTCAATAACTTCAAATCAATGTCCAAAACTTTCCCACCCTTCGACAAGGCTGCTGTGAGTGGCACAACCATGTCTTCTCCAGAAATACCCAAGAAGAAACCCACCAATGGTTATCAACAGGTACAAAATCAAGAGCCCGCGTTGGCTTTCCAGAGCTGTATTTCCAACCTCGCCATCCTGGTAGTCCAGGACCGCGTTCATAAAGTATCTCATCATATCCAGAAATCGTTGATCTAGGATTTGTCTTCATTGAAAATGTCGAAAGATCTCAGATGCAACACATTCTCTGGTGTGCTTTGTGAATAAGGTCCAACATCTTGCCTTTCAGGTTTTACATACTGTATGTTTTCAGTATTAATGTCATTCAAAACAGGATCAGGAAAGCGCAGACGAAAAAATTTAATTTTTAAAGCACGTTTTTAAACATCTTTTGTACTTTTTTACTTTTAAATTAGTGAGTAAAACCATAAAGGTAGCATGAGATTGACCAGCTGTGAGGTTGGAGACATACACTGGATCTCCTCCACCCTTTCATATATCAAATGATCTGAGAGATCATTAGAAGGATATGATAAGCGGTATAGACTGTGTCATCACCGCATGGCTATGTCTTCTTTTCACTCCAAATCTACACTCTCTAAC